AAAACCTTGACACTTCTAACTCTGACCAGCATGATGAGCTCCTTCTCCCTGCCCCCCACCTTGTTTTCTCTAGCAAAGAAAACATTGGTTCCCAGCTTGTTTTGTCTTTTGGCTGGAGACACACAGTCCTAACAGCCATGACCATATCAAGTATTGCCTGGATGGGCAGATGTGCTGACTGAACAGAAGGCTCCTTCTCCTTGGTTCCCATTGGTGGTCTCTACCTGAATCACAGCTGTGTTAGCTTGCTGCTGATAGTACTGTGTTCTGTTCCCTTCATCACTCTAGATTGATTGACTGATTGATGGTTTTTGGTTTGGTTTGGTTTTGCATGTCAAAAGAATCTACACACAGCAGAATAGAAAAGCGCTTTCCCCAGCATGCCCTCCGTCCTGATGTTTCTGCACATCCTCGCTGGCGGTCGACTTCCTTCCTTTCTGAGTTTTTCTTTGGCGTGACATTTTACAGGAACGAGTAGGTCCATGACTTTTTCAGGACTTGGTTTTCTCGTACAGTAGGTGACTGTAGTGTGTATGGTCTTTACCACTTTCCTTTTTTTTTTTTTTCTCTTAACGCTTCGTCTTAGACCTCATTTTGAAGTTTTGATAGGCTTTGTTTACCTCCTGTTCTTATCTCCCTTTTCTTTTACAAACGTTTTCTGTTATTATCATTATCTTTATTATTATTATTGTGTGTGTCAGACTTATGGAGAAAGTTTTTTACCTGATGAGCCCTCTAACTGGCATCTGTCTATCTGTCTGTCTGTCCATCTGACTTGGGGCTAGGGAGAGACTGTGTAGCACTTAAGAGCACTCACTACTCTTCCAGAGGACCCCAGTTCACTTTCCAGCCTCAGCCCCATGGAATCCAACATCCCCTTCTGTCCTCCGAGGAGCTCTTGCATACATGTGGCATCCACAGAAATTAAAATTTTAATCTTAAAAATATAAGTAAAACAAGGTCTTGCTGTGTAGCCCAGGCTGGCTTCAAACTCTGTCTTCCTGCCTTTGACTCCTAAGTGCTGGGACTACAGTTTGCCACCAAGTCCACCACACCCACCACACCTATCACACCAACCACACCAACCACACCCACCGTGCCCTAATACCAGTTAGTAAGTTTATCATCATTGAAATTCAAGTTTTCTGCAGTTCTCTATTGTTTGAGTGTCTGTAGAACATATATTTGCATGTGTTCATTTTATAGAGGACTGATTTACTGTTCAGGTAACTCTCATTCTTAATCCTCTGTAGTATTTCAAGTCATATTACCTGAAAAGAAGATAAAAGAATAGCTTTTCTTCAGTCTTTCAGAGTTTTATTTGTTTGTCCTTGGCTGCCCTGTGTCAGCCACTGAAAACGACAGGCATGTATCACCATGCATGACCAGTAATTAATATTTTAAAAACTAGTTATTCTATCTATCTATCTATCTATCTATCTATCTATCTATCTATCTATCTACCTACCTACAGGGTTTCTCTGTGTGGCCCTGAGTGTTCTGGAACTTACTCTGTAGACCAGGTTGGTCTCAAGCACCTCTGCCTCCTGAGTTCTAGGATTAAAGGTGTGCACTACCACAGCTTAAAATAATAAGGGTTCCAGTTACCTAGACAGCTTGATCCTTTCTCTTGGTGACTCCACCCTCCCTCGTGCTCACTGGCTAAGCTGCTTCCCACAGGTGCCAAGGCTCCCCCTTCCTGGAAAGACTCTTGCTTCCATTTCTCAGAAGAAAGGCTGAGGCCCAGGAAAACAGCTCCTGGGCAAGGTCAACTCCACAGGGCCAGGCCTCAGGCACTGATCTATGGATCAGCTCTCTGGTCAGTGGGTGCTTTGGACCATGACCCTTAGTGGCAATGGTCCAGAGAATTGGAACATTCTGATGCAGCTGGTTAGACAGGGTTCAGCGTGGTGGGGGTGCTCAGCAAATATTTGTCAAGTAGACAAAACTCTGGTCACTGCTGGTGTTGCAAGTTCCTCCCTGGCTCCCTCAGAGTAGGGGCTGGAGGGGAGCATGCAGGCTGAGGTGGGCCCTGCAGTGGGGGTTCAGCCTATCAGGAAGCAAGGCGGAGCTCAGAGGTGGCCCTGGGTCATTGTCGGAAATGCTAAGTTCAGGTTTTCTCACTATCTGTTTTTGATTGCCACGGACTTTCCTAGGACAGAAAAACCTCAGCTGGGCCAGCCCTGGTTTCCTTGCTGGAGTTTGGGCTGGGGTGGAGGGTCTCTGGCTGCAAACCCACCACTCCAGCCTCCCTGAGAATGACAGAAGCACTCTACTATGTTGCACGCGTGTAGTGCACACGTTCCTGTTCTCTTGATACCTGAATCTCAAAACCAAAACCAAAATTCTGCAGGCATGATTCCTTGAAGTGATTCATGTCCCTGCACTGCAGAGTTAAACTCGTTAGACTCCCCTTGGGTTAGCTGTGCATGCTTAGACAAATCGCTCCACCTCTCTGAGCTTGTTTTCTTTCATAAATATAGCAGATCATTTCACGGCACTCTTTACTCTCTGGAAAATGGCAGAAAGTTCTGGTTTCTTCTCTTGGTTTGGAACTCTTGAAGCAAGGACGTAATTCTTGTATTCATTGTTTTCTCTCTCCCAGTGCCAGAGAAAACTTAACCTGCCTAACTACTAAAAATACCCTAAAAATAACACTATTGGGGCTGGCAAGATGACTCAGTGGATAAAAGTGCTTGCAGCCAAGTTGGGTGACCTGAGTTCAATACCCAGGACTGGGAAGGAGAGCACAGAGTCCCAAAAGTTGTCTTCTAATCTTACATGAGCATTTCTGAGGACACACACATACACACACACACACACATACACACACACATACACACACACACACGAGCAGGGGGGTGTAAAAAATGTAAAAATACAAAGCAAGTAAATAAATAAATAAATAGTGAAAAACAACAACCCAAACACTAGTAGCTGATGTCTGTGTGACCAGCATCAGGCTGAAGTGTCTCTGTAGATTGTTAGTTTATCCCTCCTATTACTTAAGGAATGAGGCCAACTTAAAAGATGCAGAAATCAAAGCCTGAGGAGTCTGCTTCAGGCCAGTAGTTGGCCAGGCAGCCCGTCAAGAGGGCGGGCACAAGGCTCATGTTTCTCCCAGAACAGACACTTCCAGGGAGACAGAGAAAGGCTTGCCTGAGCCGGGCAGGAAGGAAGCTCAGGCAGGAACTATATGTGAAACTGGGGGACTTCACGTCAGCTGAGGAGTTGAGGGTGTCTCTGTCTGTGCTGTTCCTGACTGCTGCTGTCAGATGTCCTTTGCTTGTGGGGTGGTGTTTCCTCCTTGAAGTGTCTTAGTCAGGCATCATCTGACATCCAGTGGACAAATCCCCAAACACTGCTGAGTGTCCCATGGATATAGGATGCCCTCAGAGCAGAGTTGTCCAGCTTGACGCTGGCAGTGCAAGATTGAAAAGCCCTAGACCAAAGAGGGAGCATCTTCTGTGGCTCCGGCCTAGGTTCCTGTTTGGCCTCCCTCTTCTGAAGCAACCTGGTTTCCCACTTTAGAGAGCAGGAAACAGGGCCTCCAAGAGACAGGGGCTCCCATCAGAGCTCTTGGTGGTGGTAGCTAGAAGCCATGGTGTCGGCACATCCCTCTCCCGTGGATATAAGAGAGAGAGGGAACTCAGAGTCAGGACACAGGGCCTAGATTCTAGCTCTGCTGGAAGCACACCATGGTTAGGTACTATTTTGCTCTGGTTTATTCCCAGAAGATAAAAACAAAAAAAGCAGTGTCACTTCCAAGGCCCTAGTAACAACTGATGTGGTGCTATCCCATGCCTCTGGGAGGGCATTCAGGGAAAAGATGGGGGGAGGGGTCTGTAGCTTGCCTCAGTAGTATAGATATGAGGCCCTGGGTTCAATTCTCTGTACTTGTAGAATGAGACAAAAAAATCTCAGGGAAGGATGACTCAGGTCCTGACAGATCAAGGAGAACTTTCTAGACTCCTGTTTTCATCCTTGCCTGGTTAAATACAGACAACAGTGCAAGGAGCCCCTATTCTAGGACAATGGGTAGGCTGGTTCTCTGGAGCAGAGAGGCTCAAAAGCCCTGAGTTCACGCACAGGGTGACTCCATTATATTTTATTTATTCTATGTTTCTCTCTCTCTCTCTCTCTCTCTCTCTCTCTCTCTCTCTCTCTCTCTGTGTGTGTGTGTGTGTGTGTGTGCACACGCGTGTGCATGTCACAGTACCTGTGTGGAGGTCAAAGGATTATTTTCCGGAAGTTTTGTTTTCCTTTAGCCTTGTAAGTCTCAGGGATTAAAGTCAGGAGTCATGAGGTTTAGTGGCAAACCTTCACCCTCTGAGTCATCCCACTGGCTCCATTAAATTTTTTTTTTTTAAATTTCCTAGCATGAGTTCAAAGAACAGCTTTGAGTGAAAGCCCCCAGAGTTTGAGGCCAGATTCTCCTCCCAGGTCACTAGATTCAGCCCTTCTTCAGAAGACTCTTAGAAGACTCTGGCAAGGTTGGAACATCCTAAGCTGTGGACTCATCTGTCTCCAGAAAGGTTCTGTGTTGTTCATCTGCGTATAGAAGGCTCCCTGCGGTGCCCAGACAAGTCACAGCTAACTTCATCTGATATCATCCAGAGGCAGGGCTGTGGAGACAGCCCAATCAGAACTAGGATTGCAGGATTTGCAAAGCAAGGTGGATTGCGTGTGAGGAACACAGCAGAGGTTGTCCTCTGATCTCAACACGCATGCCAATCCATACACATAAATCCCATGTGTGCCCATATAGGCAGATAAGATGAAAACGAAGAGCCCAGAAACCAGATGGAAACTCCAGGATTATAGGCAGGTGACAGTTTGCCATGGTATCTGGAAACAGGGTCTCTGAGGCCCCAGCATCACTTGAAGGCAACAATGTTTCCCCCAGGCTGGGAGCTACCTCCCGCCAAAGCAACCCCTCCCATTGGCTGTGCAGGAATCCCTGGCTCCTCGTTACACGGAGACGTCCTCACAACCGCAAAGGTTTTGTGCTTGTTGTTTTATTTCCCAACAGTGAAACAAGCTAGGTGGGCCCCAGCTCAGCACCGTGCAAGCTGTTCTGCTGTTTGGCCTTCCTCCCTCCCCTGGGTACCTTCTTACTGCCTGCTACCTTCTTGGGTACCTCCTGCTGAGTGTCCACGAGTCACTGGAACTCCTGGTCTCTGGGATGTCACCCTAAACACCACCTGAGTTGTCTGAGGAAGGACTTTTGGCAAAGCAGGGTCAGAGTGACCAGGCTGGCACTGTGACGGTGTCACCCAAGCTGCACTGTGTCCTGTCTGGCTTCACTGGGTCTTCCCTCGGCCCTCAGAGATGATATGCTCAGGCTGGGCACGCATGTACCACTCTACCCAGGAGCCATCATAGACAGGCACGTCGGGTTTGCCACAGAGGAAGGCCCCCAGGACCACGTGGCAGGCTGTGACACCGGAGCCGCATGTGGCTACCAAGGGCTTGGACAGGTCCACCTTCTTCTCCTGAAATAGGTGTTGGATCTCCTCTGGGCTCTTCTCCAGACCTTCCTTGGTTTGGAATTCAGTGAACGGGATGTTTACTGAGCCAGGGATGTGGCCAGGTTCGATGCCTGCACAGGGGAAACATACAGACAGGCAGCATGAATGATGTCCAGTGTTAGCGGTATTTGTAGTATCAAGTCTCCCACCACAGCAGAATGCCAATTGGGTGTCCAATGTCTTATAACCACCAAAGCTAGGCACCGCCCCACACAGATGGCCAGCCTAAGGCTAAGTAACACCCAAAGTCACTGCACCCAGCTCATTGCTAGCTAGAGTTTGAATCCAACTCTACCAGAGCTACACCACACCCTGGGCTTCCTGATCATGAACCTTGAGGGGCAGCAGAGTCATTCAAGTGACCTCTGTCCAATTAGGACTTAGGGCACTTGGAGGCCTAGAGATGGTGTAGAGGGCAGACAGGCACTCACCAGATAATTGCCAGTGTGACAAAAAATACCCTAGGGCTATAGTTGAAAATAGTAATCAAAACCACTGACACGGTTGAATGCTTGCATTGTGTAGGACAGTGCCCAGACCCCCTCAGCGGCATTTTTCCCCTTTAATATCACCCAGATTCTATGGGAAGGAAATGTCTGTCACCCCCACCCCAGGAGAATAAGGCACAAAGACTACCATGTTGTAGCTAGCAGTGGGTAGGGAGAGTTGTGACCACTCCAGAGCCTGTGCTGCCATGGAACAGACCTTGGTGCCTTGAGAGGGTAGGGTCTTCTCCCAGGATGAAACCAGCCAGTCAGGGGTCCTGACAGTGGGACTGAGAGCATGACAGACAGGAAGAACCTGGGAACCCTAGGATGATGCACAACGAATCGTGACCACCAAGGCTCAGACAATAGGGAGGCAGAGGGACAGGAAAGCCTCAGTGTACCTGGAAGAAGGCTTTGGGCTCCATCTGGTCATAGGGGGAAATTAGACTTTATTCTCTTAAAAGAATTTAGTTGGAATGCTGAGGACGTAGAATGCTTGCCTACTATAAATGATGCCTTGGGTTTCACCCTCAATGCCTCAAAAAAAAATTTTTTTTTCTAGTGATGTCTACCTGTAAGCCCAGCAAGATCAGAAGTTTAAAGTCATCCTAAGTGACATAGTGACATAGTGTGTTTGAAGCCAACTGCAGCTACATGAGACTGTCCAAAAACAAACAAACAAACAAACAAACAAACAAACCAGTCTGATTAGCAGGATAAAGAAGGCCAGAGAAGTGTGGATTAAGGGGACTGTCACTTTACCCATGGCTTGGAAGCCCCAAGGGCTCCAGTGTGCATTTTCCCTCTAGCTTTCTTCCAGACAGAGGCCACTAAAGCCCCATTTTCACAGGAGGGCTGAGACTCACATCAGAATGAAACTTCACAGCTGTCAGTCAAATCCGGGCTGTCTAGATCCCAAAATGACGAACCTCTGCCTTGGTTTCCCTGTCTTTGTGGGAGCTGCTGGCCTATGTTGGTCTCTATCCTCAGAGGATAGCAGGAGACAGCGCTCCTGAGCTTCGAGAGGATTCAGTGTGTTGGTCATCCCCATGAGGTGGATCTCCTAAAAGTCGCCCATGCAGCCCTCCTCAAAGCCTGGAGTAGAGTAAGCTACAGAGCCAGGGGCCTATGGGTAAGTAAAGTCAGCATTTCCTTTTACTAAACTCCAGCTTTACCAAGCAAAACACAACCCCTGAGCTGCTGAACTGAAGGAGCAAATTAGAGGTGTACTCAGCCAAGTCAGGGACCGCGGAGGAGAAATGGTGATGCTTTACGTAAAAACTAGCAGGCCTTCCAGCCTGGCATCCAGCCTGGCATCCTGGACCGCATTAACCGTCACCGACTGCTTTCATTCTACACATGCAAGGCCCACCATCCAGAGTTGCTAGCTGATCTACCAGGTACTACCCAGAGTACAGCAGGGACAGGGCTCTGAGCAGAAGCCTGAACCAGCAGAGAGGCCATGGGAGAGCTTCCGGGGCCATGGCTGGCTCCTGCACCCTGGCAGGCTGGAGAGAAATGGTGTGTGTGTGTGTGGGGGGGGGGAAGGATTACTGTTTGCTCACTGTGGTTAAGTGTGCAGGGGGGAGTCTGAATCCAGAGACACTCCTTCCTGAGATCTCAGGCAAGGTGATCATTCCAGGGCTATTCTCACCTGCACAATGGCAGTGTGGGCATCACTCCATATTTTCAGAAGGATTGGTGCCTGGACCCTTACAATGCCAAATCACATGAAATGGTGTCCTGTCAGGGAATCTACACACACCCTCCTAACATCGAACACATCTCTAGATCCTCTCCACCTCCTTCCTCTCCCTTCTGAGTTTTGAGACAGGATCCCACTCTCTAGTTCAGGCTGACCCGGAAATCACTACATGGCCCAGGCTAGTCTCAAGCTCGTGATCTACCTGTCTCAGCCTCCAAATGCTGGGATTACAGCCATGTGGTGCCATACCCATCTCTAGATCTCTTTCAATATGCATTATAGTTGTAAATGCTATGCAGTTACACTGTATCATTCAGGAATAACGACAGGGAAAGAAAGGGCATACCCTCTGTACAGGGAAAAAAGTGTTTTCTGAGGTTGTTTAAACACTGGAATGTGGTATCTGCAGGTACTGAAGGCTGGTTCCACCTAGCTCCTGAGAGGTTTGCCTCACGCTAGCTAGCATGGCTATAGCCCTGCCTGCTTTGTGAGATCCCTTCCCATATTACACAGCGCTTTGTCTGAAGAAGCCCAGGCCATAGGCAGCCAGCTGGCTTGGCCCCCACCTAGGGCACCAACTACTTTGCTCAACCCACCCTAATACTCTCAGAATCTCTTAATATCACCCAGGCGGCAGTTGTAGGCGTCCAGCATCCTATCAACTCAGGAGCTGCAGGCTAGACCTCATTAGGACCAAACTTGAGTCCTTCCTAAACCAGACGGAGACTGCCTTCTGCTATTTTGTCGTGGCTGCACGCAAGCTCGTTATTGCAGTTAGTGGGCTTCCTGCTCTGTGTGCCCTGGATTCTCAAGGTACTTAGGCAACCTCAGTCCGTAGTTCCAAAACTGTGAGGTAGTGTTTGTGGCCTCCGCTATCAGAAGGAATCGAGAGGCTTAAGAGTGAGGCACCCAGCAACCAACCCTTCTCCCTTTGCTCTTTCACGCGAACGACCAGCACAAGGCTAGGCAGTGTCCAGAGCACACACCAGCTGGTCCCCGCATCCTCATCTGCCTGTTTCCCCAGCGTGTTACCATCTCGGGGTTCCGGCTGGGTGCCTTGGAAACGGCCAGCTGCGCGAGCGTCCACCACCTGGAAGCGTCGGGAATCCAAGTTCTCCAGGATGTCCTCATGGGTCTTGATGAAGGAGGGATCGAGCTGTGCGCAGAACTCCGCGGGCTCTGAGTGGCTTTTGCCGGAGCTGATTGGAAGGTTCTGGCTCAGCCAGTGGCGGAAGCCGCCGTCCAGCAACGACACAGTGTGGTGGCCGAAGGCGCGGAACATCCACCAGACCCGTGGAGCTGAATAGAGGCCCTGGTCGCTGCCGTCGTAGACCACAACGTGCGTGGAGGCGCTCACGCCCAAGCTGCCCGCGTAGTCGGCAAATTGCTCGGCGCTAGGCAGCATGTGGTCATAGGGGGACGTGTGGTCGCTGCATCGATCAATGTCAAAGAAGGCGGCGCCCGGGATGTGGCGCTCCTCAAACTCGCGTCGTGCATCGCGGCCCAGCTTGGGTAGGTACCAGGACGCATCCAGTAACTTCAGTGGCTGCGAGGGGCGCGGGGACTTCAAAGTTTCCGCCACCCACTGCGCAGACACGAGAGCTCGGAAAAGCTTCGGGGCGGCCATGGCCTAGGGGGATGCTCGGATTGCGGTCCTGCAAGACAGGGAAGATACCAGAATGGAGAGACTTGTCTGTCGTCAGGGATTGCTAGGGCTAATCGGCGTAGGTGGAGCCTAAGCACCGGCAGAACAGAGTCCAGGAATGCAGACAGGGCCTGGGGTGAAGCCAGGCTCTGCCTTCATCACCCAGGGAGCCCCTTGCTCAGGCTTTGAATAATGCACAGCTTCAATTGACGTTATGGCCATGGGCGCCAGGAGAGGGTGGTGCGCGTCCCCCACTCTTCCTTGCCCAGCAAAATAGGGTAGGGCTAGGGCCAGGGCCAGGCTCAATTAGCCCTCAGGTAAAGCAAATAAGACCAAAGTTTCAGCCCTTCTCTAAGACGTAGCCAGGCTTCACAGCCAATCAGATCCACTCATTCATTGAGCCGGTCTAGGCGTCCAATGGGAACAATAACCAGAATTCACCCTTCGCCCAGTGCCATTTAATCCTCATTTATTACAACACTCGACAGAGCAGCCTCTCCCCAGTCTGCTGAAGGAACACACTTAAGAGGTTTGACACTGTCACCTTTTTCTCAAAGCCACCGAAGCTCCCTGATATGCTTTGAATTACCTGAGCTGGGAGCTGTACCTTCCATAATACGGGTACTCAAGAGACTGAGGTAGGAGGACCAGAGGTCAGCCTGGTCTACATAGGAAGTTCCAGACCAGCCTGGGCAACTCAGCAAGACCATCTCAATACCAAATAAACAAAAGCAATCAAAAAAAAAAAAAAACCCCAGGACAACAATGACAGACAAACAAACAAACAAACAACTCAAACAACAGAAACCAGGGTACTAAGTGGGGGTAGCCTAGGCCCTGTGTGGGGTGGGGGGCACACACTGAGAACCCTTGACTTTGGTAGGCCCCAGAGAAGCTCAAGCAATGACACAAGCGAGGAATTGTGGAGTTTAGTGTGAGCAGCAAGGCCTCCACCTCAGCCCGGTTGTGTGAGAGAAGGCAAAAGGACTTTGTGTGGGAAGCAGAAGCACACTTTGACCTAGGGATAAGAATAAGGGGTAAGCCGGGCACTGGTGGTAGATGTCTTTTGTCCCAGCATTGGAACTCGGTGAGTTCGAGCTAGCCTGGTCTACAGAGAGCGTTCTAGGATAGTCAGTGCTACAAGGTGAAATGCTGCCTCAAAAACCAAAACAGTTGGTTAGACATGGACTCCTGCTAAGGACTGATGTTAGTGTTTGTGATGCAGCTGGATGTGACAGTTGGGGCACAACAGGGTGTGTGCACAGAGGGCAAGGTGACCAATGTGGGGCAATCCTTTCAGGATACAGCAGCTCGTTACCGCCATTCTTGGGACTCTTGCCTCCCCAGCTCTGGTTTGGGAGTCAGTCAGGGGGCACAGATGACATGGTATAGGCCGTTCATGTGGGGGTATGTGAGGGTTCCTGGGTCATGCCTGGAACTTCCAATTCTCTCTCTCTCTCTCTCTCTCTCTCTCTCTCTCTCTCTCAGGTCAGAGAGGCTAGGCTATGGGCTATGGGTGCCCACGAGGGGCAGAAACCAGAAAGAGACTAAGTTTCTTTGTTCTTGGAGGACCAGGATCCCAGGGGAGGTCCATCAGGACACATAGGACAGGCCCAGGCCATCCTAAGCTAGTGTGAGGCTATATACCCCACCCATGCAGGGGTCGGGGAGATACTGAAGAGCATCTCTCCACCTGGAGCCTCCTGGAACATTCTCTTCCCTACTGTCAGGCTCAAGAGTCAGAGTATGCTGAGAAAATGCTAAGCAGTGTTTAAATTTTTGCAACACACCATGACAGTATTTCAGGGCAGGATCGATGCTCACAAAACGAGGAGAGGAGTCCGAGAGAAAAGAACAGAATAGACTAGAGAGGCAGTGTACAGCCCATTTGCAAGAGCCATGCTCTATTTCCAGATATTTTGCTTATTGGCATTTATATAAATTTACAATGAAGGGGTAAAAATTGAAGCCCAAGACAATTAATAAATAATAATAATAATAATAATAATAATGTTTCAAGGAAAGACAGGTACACCGAGGCAGCTCCCACCAAACTTTAGGCTTCAGGTGAGAAATTAGTCCCCTTTCCACTACGTGCCCTGGCGCTTCCAGGTTCCACCTGTTTCTCCTGTTGGGAGAAGTTCAGGTCAATCCCGCGGGGTCGTTAAGGCACTCGGCAAGGTGGGCCTGATAAATGTTAGTTTCATTTCATTCTAGTGCGTTCTTCTACGTTCTTCTCTTGGGGCACGCTGGGTCTCCTCACCACAGCCGCTCTGAATTGCTTTGTTTATTCTCTCGGGCCCTCCTACTTTCTCAGGAGGCATCAGGTCATTCCAAACTCCATCCAGCCACTGCTACCCAATTGTCTCTTATCCCACCCCAACCCACAGGAGGTCACAAGCAGCCGTGGATAGTCCTCCGTAAGGCAAACTGGGGGCGCCCTGGCAAGTCTTCTCTTATAGACTACCCCCTCCTCCACTGCCGCGTGGTACCTCGCTATGCACCCCCGAGAAGCATCCTCTCTCACAGAAAAGCAAATAGGACGCATTGGGCAGCAGATACCAGAGTTTCGCGCTCCCCGCTTCCCAGCTCCGCCATGTCACCCCCTCCCCGCGCCCTCAGAGGTCCCCTCCTTCCGCCACCAACCTGCGGCCAGCCAAAGGGAGGAGACTTGGGCACAGCCCACTGCTTGGGCCACTCCGAGCCGTTGCATCTTCCATTCCCCGGACTGCGGGGGACTCTCGCGCCATGATGCGGGATTGCGCGCTGCCCCGGTGTCACCTCGAGCCTCCAGTAGCCCCTTTTGGGTATGAGAAGTATTATATGAGGAGGGACAAACAGGATTCCCGTGCAAAGCCGCAGAAGCTGTACGGAGTTCCGACTGTCTACGAGAGAGGTGTCTCTCTTCACCCCCATGGGAGGTGGTACAATGGTGCGAGCCACTTGGGAACCCTCCCGGCTCCTTGTTTGAACCCGGCAGCTTCTCCCGAGCGCAAGGGCGAGTGCCTGCGCAGCTACCGGGGCGAATGAGTGCAGCAAGCCGCCCAGGATGAGGCCGCTCGCTGAGTCGTGGTGGCGAAAGCAGGGCAGGGTGCCTAGAGCCCTTTCATTGGCATTGGGCATTCTAGAAACCAGAGAACTCAGGGTGCAGGAAACGAAAGCGGAAGGGCTGGCGAGTGGTCAGTGCGCCCCGGAGAGGCGATTCGAAGCCCAAAGGCCATCTCCATCTAGGACTTTTGTTTGTTTATTCCATTCTTGCAGTGTCCTGAGCCAGCCCCTCCCACCAGCTGCTGCCATAGGAATGCTCCGAAGCTCTTGGCCACGCCCACCTGCCCTCCTAGGCACCAGAAAGGGAGGGCGCCGGAGCAGTGGGAGGAGTGGAGCAGACTTTCCCTAGGGAATGTGCCAGCCTCTCCCACCATGAGTCTGGCTCTGAGTGTAGTTACCATTGCACGCTGGGAAAATGTAGCGGGGACAACAGCCCCGCCTCCTGGGTTCCGCCCACCGCACTCAGTCCTCTCTGGCCTGCCTGTCTCTTTCCTGGTTCCCACCCGCGCCAGGTGACACGCAGAGCTGACACTATGGTTCATCAGGTGCTCTACCGGGCGCTGGTATCCACCAAGTGGTTGGCGGAATCCATTCGGTCCGGCAAACTGGGGCCCAGCCTTCGGGTGCTGGACGCGTCGTGGTACTCACCCGGGACCCGCCAGGCACGCAAAGAGTACCAGGAGCGACACGTGCCTGGTGCGTCTTTCTTTGATATAGAGGAATGCCGGGACACGACTTCGCCTTATGAGATGATGCTGCCCAGTGAGGCCCACTTTGGGGACTATGTGGGCAACCTGGGCATAAGCAACGACACACACGTGGTGGTATACGATGGAGACGACCTGGGCAGCTTCTATGCACCCAGAGTATGGTGGATGTTTCGTGTGTTTGGCCACCGCACAGTGTCAGTGCTCAATGGTGGCTTTCGGAACTGGCTGAAGGAGGGCCACCCGGTGACATCTGAGCCCTCGCGGCCAGAGCCAGCCGTTTTCAAAGCCACACTGAACCGCTCCCTGCTCAAGACCTATGAGCAGGTCCTGGAGAACCTCCAGTCTAAAAGGTTCCAGCTGGTGGATTCTCGGGCCCAAGGACGCTACCTGGGCACACAACCGGAGCCCGATGCAGTAGGTAGGTGTTCTTGTGGCCCCTGGGAAGAATGCACAACAAAAAGATGAGGAATCAAAATATCTGGGACCCTTAGTCCCTCCAGGTAGACTTGTTTTTCTATCTGTAAAATGGGAGGGGACAGCCAACTTTGAAGGCTTTTGCAGCGCACATGAGGGCCCTGTGTGCCATAGCCGGGTGCTAAGAAGCTGATCCCATTAGGTGATTGCTGGCCTGTCCATCCATGGTCCACTCCCAGGCACCAGCTCTCCCACATGCAGTAGATGTACCAAAGGACCCACAAGCAGTCATTTGTGTAGCTGCACAGAGGTCTACAAATCTCTTCACATCCCCTAAAGCCCAGAAACCCTTTTAAACACTAATAAGGCTCTTCCCTGAGCTCCTTTGGGACCCTGTCTAGCACCTCAGTTCATAATCTCAACAAGTAGCTACAGCTGTCTGTGGAGCTGTGACAGCAGCTGTCATCTTGTGCCAGGGATGTTGATGGGATGACATACCAAACTTAGATGAAACACTAGGGTATTGTTACTTGGTCAGTGAAGTGGCAGAACCTAGATTTGAACCCGGTACCATTTTGTTTTAAACCAGGGTTCTAAACCCAGATACAAACCCATTCAATCCCACCATCACTTCCTAAAGTTCAGGGGAGCCTCCTGTGCCAGACATTCCCAGAAAGATGGCCCATGAGCCCCCTTTTGTATGTATGGGGAAGCTGAAGGAGTCTGCACAGCTTAGGAGTCAGGAAAAAAATCTCAGGAGATGAAATCCTGCCTACTGGAGGCACCGGACCCGAGGCGACCCCAGGTCTTGCTTTTCCAGAGTACAGGACTCGTGGCCCACTTTTTTTTTTTTTTAAATCAGTAAGTGCCCCTGCCCTGCATGACTCAACTCCAAGATAACGTTTTGCCTAACTTGTTGCAAAATGTCTCCTCCTCCCTGCTAGCTGATGTCTTCAACACTGCTTTTACAGTCTTAATACTAAATTGTCATCCCACTGGACAGAGTGGCGCCTAGGCACACAGGCAGGAGCAGGTCAAGGCCACACTTGGAGTTGGCAGAGCCTGGCATTTCTCCAGTCTCACTCTCTCCAGGCCTTTGATTTTCCCCGCCTGCTTGGCTCTGGGAAG